CTCACTGAGGATGGTCCTCACTGAGGATGGTCCTCACTGAGGATGGTGCTCACTGAGGATGGTCCTCACTGAGGATGGTCCTCATTGAGGATGGTGCTCACTGAGGATGGTGCTCACTGATGATGGTCCTCACTGAGGATGGTGCTCACTGAGGATGGTCCTCACTGAGGATGGTCCTCACTGAGGATGGTGCTCACTGAGGATGGTCCTCACTGAGGATGGTGCTCACTGAGGATGGTGCTCACTGAGGAGGAGACACACTGAGGATGGTCCTCACTGAGGATGGTGCTCACTGAGGATGGTCCTCACTGAGGATGGTGCTCACTGAGGATGGTGCTCACTGAGGAGGAGACACACTGAGGATGGTCCATACACTGGGTTGAAAAGTTTTATCATTTTAAGGTCTCATAGTTTAATATAAATAACAAGTTCTTGAGAGTGAGAGACAAATATGCTAAATAATGGCGTGTTTTTCTACCATAATCACTATTTTAGTCTTTACTCCCTATTTTTACATCATTTTCCTTCTTTCTTACAGACCAAGATTAGATAATCACCCAAAATCCATGACCTTGATAAATCATCTTGAGGGCCACCGTAAAGAATGTTCTATTTCCATGTGAACTGACAGTAATATGTGATTAAATATTCATTCCTGAAGTTATATTAACTTGTGTGTGTGTTTGTGCGTGCATGTGTGCATGCATGCGCATGTGTGCTTGAGTATCCAAGATAGAGGACAAACTAATATGTTCCTCCCCAGGAGTCATTCATGTTATTTTTGGACACGGGGTCTCTCACCGGCCTAGAACTTACCAAACAGGCTAGGCTGGTTGGCCAGTGAGCCCAGGAATCCTCCTGTCTCTATCTCCATAGCGCTAAGACTACAAGCGTGAAGCACTATCCAGTTCTTTCAAAATGTGGGTCTGGGAAATGTGAATCGGGTCCTTGTGCTTGCTCACCAAACACGTGACCTCTGGGAGTTATTTCCTGCTTGGTCTCCTGTTTGCCCTGTTCCATCCCTTTGTCAAATCCCCAAACAAAGCTGTCGGTGGAAATACAGAAATCGCTTCATCTCACCAAAGTCAGGGTTACACTTAAATCAGTCAGCTACAAGAGGGAGTATGTGCAGTGTGCAAAACTGGTTCCGAAGGACATGCTGAACAAGTCACGTGATCACACTGTCTGTGGGAGAACTCTATACAGCAGTTCCTCTATGAACCTGGGAACAGAAAATATGTTGTTTGCTCGAGTCTTGGAACACTTGGACAAAGTGGTCCATTAGGACCTCCTGCAGGGGTTCAGACAGCCTCTGTCGTTGGGAAAGGGATCTCATAACCTGGTTGGGTGAGTGGGCTCCGGATAGGTGAGGAGCAAGGGGCAGGGGAGGCGGAGCCAGCAAGGGGGGCGGCTACGATTGACATGCTCAGCAATCCAACTAATTCATTTTAAAGAAACATGGGGTGTGGCTGTGGTGATTTAAATACGAATATCCCCCTTAGACTCCCGTGTTTGAATGCTTGGCCATAGGGAGGTGTGGCCTTGTTGAACAAAGTGTGTCCCAGTAGAGGCAGGCTTTGTGGTCTCCTATGCTCAAGCTACACCCAGTGTGGCACACAGTTTCTTTCCTCTTGCCTTCAGATCAAGATGGAGAGCTCTCAGCTCCTTCTCAGGGACCATGTCTGCCTGCATGCTACTGTGCTTCCTACCATGATGATAATGGACTGAACCTCTGAAACTGTAAGCCAGCCCCAATTAAATGTTATCCTTTATAAGAGTTGCCACGGTCATGGTGTCTCGTCACAGCAATGAAACCTTTATGCAAAGTAAAAATATAAAAATCAGAGTATTTTTAAAATCATATAAAAACATCAAACATGGCTTGTGACCAGCTAAAGAGCCACAGCCCTAGCAGTCCTTGATCTGTAATCCAGCCTGGACCACCTTAAATGCTGCTCCAGGCGACATATATAGTTCTGTGTCCACATGATTTTCTTTTCCGAAAATGTCACTTCTTTCTGTCAAACTTTCTCCCTTCACCTCTAGCATCCTGTTAATTCCTCATACTTAAAATATGCATCTTTCAGCCCGGGCTATACAGAGAAACTCTGTCTCGAAAAACAAAAAACAAAACAAAAAAAAATGCATCTTTCAAAATTCAGTTTAGATATCTGAAAGTAAACATCTTTCCTTCTGATTTTTAAGTCTCATTACATAGCCCACACTGTCCTTGAACTCAAAACCTTCCTGGCTCTGCCTCTGATGCGCTGGGATCACAGCCACACAGCATCACACCCAGTTGATCTGACTTTAGTAACACTTAGTACAGTCTTGGTTAAAGTATAGAACGAAAGACAACAGCAAAAGGAATACTTAGCACGAGTCCTAAGACTTGGGGTCAAGTCTTGGGATCACACAAGGTACTGAGGGTACTGCTTGAAGTTATAGTCATCTACCCCACATCCTGGGAACTGATATGAAGGTTCTGTCAATAAGCAAGCATGTCTATTCACTCCATGTGTACTTTCAGGGGCCAGATGTAGATCTGGATGGGACTCTTTTATCCCTGACTCACGTAAAAGAAACACCTTGGCACAGTGTATCCTGGGTATGTCCTTTCAGACCTGCATTCATTGATCTGCAGAAAGTTTGGGGGTTCCTTTCTCCAAAGCATGTTTCCTGTGGTCCTGTGTGTGTGTGTGTGTGTGTGTGTGTGTGGTGGTTTGAATAAGAATGGCCCCATAGGCTCATATATTTGAATACTTTGTCACTAAGGACTGGAACTCTTTGATAGGATTAGAAGGATTATGAGGTGTGACCTTGTTTGAGTAGCTGTGGCCTTGTTGGAAGAAATGTGTCACACGGGGTGAGAATTGAGATTTCAGATGCCCATGACACCATTCCCCCACCACGACTTGAATACCAAAATGTAGCTCTTAGTAATTCTCCAGCACCACAGCTGCCTGGCCCCCATGCTCTCTGCCATAATGATAATGGAGTAAGCCTCTGAAACTGTACTCAAGCCCTGTAGGACCCCGAAGGGCTGCTATACCCTGGCTGAGCCTTTCCGTATGCTGCTGTCTACTAAGTAACATTCTGCGGTTCCTAGGAGCAAAACATCCTGACTAAGGCGTGGTGCCCCAGGAAGGGAATTTATACTTGACATCCTAATGCCCCCCAGTTGAGTTCCTGTTTTTTCCTGAGTTTGTGTTTTTCCTTCCCTGGCTTGGTGTATATATATTGAAACTGCTCAGTAAAAGCTTTGGCATTCTCTCACAATGAATGACCCTCACAATGAGTCTGAGTATTTCTTTAATTTCCCCAGGCCTATGCCCGAGCTTGGTACTGCGGGCAGTGCCGGAGCTGTCAAAGCCCTGGAGCTGTCAAAGCCCCTAATCAAATGCTTTAGCGTTGTCATGATGTTTCTTCCATGTCCCATAGCAATAAAACAGTGACTAAGACCCTATGTATAAATGACCTTGAGCTTCTTTGAGGGAAAATGGGGTGATTATACGGAACAGTGGTTGTTGTGGTATCTCAGGGCTGTCACATGAGGCAGGCTTCTTTAGTTACTAGGTCTGGCATTGGGTATTAGCTCAAGCCAAGCTGGGGTGGGGTGGTGTGGTGTGTGTGTGTGTGTGTGTGTTTTAGTCTGGGTCTGTTGTTACAACAAAATAGCCGAGGCCATGCGATTGGTAAGTGTATTCCTCATAGTTCTGGAGGTTAAATGTGCAAGATGACTTGGTGTTTGGTGAGGACTCAGTCACTGCTTACAAAGTGGCACGTTGATGCTGTGCTCTCTAGTTGAATGCTGTAGTCTCATCTAGCACAAAAGACAGTAAGGGAAAGGACTCCCTGCAGTCCCCTCCTCCTCTGCACTCCCCTCTCTAAATTAGTTGGCTTTAAAGCATGCTTGGGAAGTAGTTTGTTGCTTAACTTAGTTAAGTGAGGGGTGGGGGAAGGGAGAGAGACCACCCAGACCTGGATGGAACTATTTTCTGGACTGGGTCCTAGGCTGAATAAAAAGGAAGAGGGAGGTTATGGTTTGTATATGCTCGGACCAGGGAGGGGCACTGTTAGAAGGTGTTGCCCTGTTGCAGTGGGTGTGGCCTTGTTAGAGTAGTTGTGTGTGTCACTGTGGGTGTGGGCTTTAAGACTCTCATCCTAGCTACCTGAAAGCCAGTATTCTGCTAGCAGCCTTAAGATGAAGATGTAGAACTTTCAGCTCCTGCTGCACCATGCCTGCCTAGATGCTGCCATGCTCCTGCACTGATGATAATGGACTGAAACTCTGAACCTATAAGCCAGCCCCAGTTAAATGTTGTCCTTATAAGAGTTGCTTTGGTCATGGTGTCTGTTCACAGCAGTAAAACCCTACCTAAGACAGAGGTGAACATAAGCGCCTTTGCTGTCTGCTTCCTGCCCATGGCTGCAGTATGACCTGCTGTCTCTGAGTTCCCCAAAACGATAGGCTGGAACCTGGAACTGTCTCCCCCAAGTTGCTCTTGTCGCCCTGTCTTTTGTCTGCCCATCCCCCCTCACACTCGAAGTCTGATCCAGAAGTTCATTCTCCTGTGCCCAGGCTAATCCTTCCTGGCCTCCATCCTCGTCCTCTCAGCTCTGCCCAGGATTTCTTACTCTTAGCCCTGACTACTCTCTTCCCTCTCACCAGGGCCTTCCTTCCCAATCTGTAAGGAAAGTGTCCTTCGAGCCCTCATAGAGACCCAAAGCAGGTAAGGCTGACATGGTGTATCCGTTCTCGGAAGCTTAGTAGTAGTACTGAGTGGTCCTGCAGGGAGGAGGCACAGAGGTTTCAGTCCAGAGCCTGGAAAAATGAGTGCTGGGTGTTGTGTTTTCTGTAAGCTTCTATTTTCCCTCCCGGTCCTAGTTCCCAGAATAATGACTCTGAGACGTAAATATGTTTACAGATGCTGTGGACTGTTCCCAGACTAGCTTATAACTAAATCATCCCGTTATTCTAAGTTCTGCCATGAGTCTGGTTACCTGGCCCTCAGTTACTTGTGACCGTCTTCCTCTGTGTCTGGAGCCGAATCTCTCTTCCCTCATGCCTCTCTCTCCCCCAGAATCTTTTCTCTCTACCAGAATTTCCAACCTCCCTATTTCCTTCCTAAACTAGTAGAACAACCACATTTTTATTGACAAGTGATTCTTCTATACAGTACAAGAGATTGTACAGCTGGGGGGAGAGGGAAGCTTCCCAGGGGTGTCATTGGATTTACCAGGTTTTAATGGCACAGTTAAAATCCAAGCCTGGTTGGACTACACTGAGAAGAAAATTGCAAAGTGAGAGTGAAGTGTCACCGTTCAGGACATGAGACTGAGAGGAGAGGCCTCCGAGCTGTCAGTTTTGAGAGGTGAGAGGTGGCGTTAGAGGAAGTGTGTGTTGATGAGCTGATAACACTGAGCAGCATTCACTGTGGCATAGAGAGGGATGCTCCTGAACCACATCTGTACACAGGGGCTGGCATCTAGACTGTAAAGGATGACTGGCTTTTGATTGGCCTATAAACATTTTACTGTAAGAGAAAGGAGGGCAGAGCCTGAGGGGACAGAGGCAGCTTAAGTGGTGACTATCAATCTGGTGACTAGATTGCCCATGTTCTTTTTGAAGTGTGGGCTGGGGAAGGAATGGAGGAGGCTCTCCTGCTAACTGAGGAGCTGGCCAGGACAGCTTTGTTTTCTGTTCCCTTTCCCCATGGATTTTCCCCTGTCCTGAGTGGTGTACAGCAGAAAAATTTAATTCTTCTCTGCTCTTTGCCACATGAAAGGACTTAAGTATTTGTTCATACACAATAAACACAACTGTTTTGACTGATAGATTATTAGACATTATTAGACTGATATGCTGCCAGGAAAAGCGGACTAAAAATTTAAGGAGGAAAAAATGTAACAATATCAAAATCATTATCCCATGGGTTCGACAAGCATTTCTGAGCCGGGCTTGAGAAGTCTCCCCTCTTCGCACATTCTGATATGAACAGTTTAAAGCAGGTTGAGTTATCCTGACACAGCCTTTACTGCAATGTGCCTTCTAGTCATTTTCGACCTTCCCTAGTATCTCCACTCATCTCTCCCTGTCTCCTCCCAACCTCTGACCTATCTTTTGGAAGGTATCTTGTTTTCTAGGAACATGGGACATCCAGGGCAATCACACTGGCACAGTTCAGACAGATCAACATTCAATCTTCTGCTTCAGTCATTTGACTCCTTTATAATTTGTGGGAGCAGACAATCACTTCCCTTGATACTTAAGTTTGCCTCAGCACCATGAAAATGTCATGAGCCTCTGTATCTTCCGGGTGACTACATGTCCTTCAGAATTTCACTCATCCCTCACCTCCTGCACTTAATCCTGACCTGTTTTAAAATTATAACCCTTGGGTTGGAGAGATGGCTGTTCTTCCAGATCACCCAAGTTTGGTTCCTAGCACCCATCCTTACAACCCCTCGTTCCTCTTACTCTCAAGTCTCCCCTCAGAGCATTTCCTATCTCCTTATACAATCCATAGCTCTTGGGTCTCCTGTGTGTTAATATTCCATGACACAAAGAACAGTCTGACATGAGAGAACTTCATTTGGTTTTGAGACAGGGCCATCTTGTGTAGCCCTGGTTGGCCTTAAGCCTTGAACCCTCCTGCCTCAGCCTCCCAGGTGCCAGTACTATAGGAGTATATCCTCAAGCCCAGCTCAGAAATGCTTGTCGAACCCATGGGATAATGATTTTGATACTGTTACATTTTTTCCTCCTTAAATTTTTAGTCCACTTTTCCTGGCAGCATATCAGTCTAATAATGTCTAATAATCTATCAGTCAAAACAGTTGTGTTTATTGTGTATGAACAAATACTTAAGTCCTTTCATATGACAAAGAGCAGAGAAGAATTAAATTTTTCTGCTGTACACCGCTCAGGACGGGGGAAAATCCATGGGAAAAGGGAGCAGAAAACAAAGCTGTCCTGGCCAGGTCCTCAATTAGCAGGAGAGCCTCCATTCCTTCCCCAGCCCACACTTCAAAAAGAACATTTTTTGAAGGGGAGCTGTGAGGAGACACCATGACCAAGGCAGCTCTCACAAAAGAAAACATGTCATCCAGGGCTTGTTTACAGTTCCAGAGGCTGAGTCCACTATCATTAAGGCAGAGAGCATGGCTGTACACAGGCAGAATGGAGCCGGAGAAGTAGCTAAGACTGCTACATCCTTTTCCACTGGCAGCAGGAAGAGAGAACTGGTCCTGGCCTGAGCTTTTGAAACCTCAAAGCCCACCCACAGTGACATACTTTCTCTAACAAGGCCACACCTCCTAATGGTTTTCCCATAGTGTTTCCCATAAGCATTTCAATATATGAGCCTGGGGGGGGGGCTCTCTTATTCAGACCACCACAGCTTTTTGTTTGTTTGTTTTTGTGGTTGTTTCAACAAACATATCCTTGTGTAGCAGTAGTTAGTTATCCACTCTGTGCTCTGATGGGTCACACACCCACACCTGCCCAAGAGCAATGGCTGGACGTTTCTAATCCCCCCTGCTGCTAGAAAACACTCCCCTGCTGTACCTCTGAGTTAACATCTTTTAAAACCTATATTTCATCTCTGCTACCCCAAACACAATTGGGGAAGTGGCCTGTGTGGCCACATTCCCTGATTCTCACATGTTGGTGAGCCTTTAGGTCTGGTCTTTCTTCTTTCATGTCATGGCAGTCTCTGCTTCCTTCTTCTCTTTTGGTTCCTAGCCTGTGCCAATCTCAAAAGTCCCACCTCAGTCTATCTGCCTGTTGGCTCTTTATTGATCCATCAAAACCCAACTGGGCACAAGGACCTTCAGCATTTGGACATGCAGATTCCCGATTTGGGGTGCTGGATTAATTCAAAGCAGTAGAACAAATTCCCAAATCTCACCCTTTCTGTCCAAATTAAAAAAAAAAACAACTTAGACATAAATTGAGCATAACCATAACAATTATGTAAATTACAAAGTATGATATACAATTAACATCCAGTCCATCATATTTGTCAGTTAAAGTATTTTACCATCTACCCTAAAGAGCTTACAATTCTATACCTGAATTATGTTCTGATTTTAGCTTGTATTAGTATCCGAAAATCATCCTTTCAAATCTATATCATATCTCTCAATGCTAAACAACTTAAGTTTGCTTATGAGACTGTAACTATAGTCTTCAACCCTGTCAGAAATCTGAAATCCTTGTATTTAATCTAACCTGGTGGTGTCTCCTGGCACAAGCAACTGATAGGGGCTGTAACTGAGGGGAAGGTATAGACACACGGTTCCTGCACTGAAGACCTTGCTGTCTCCCTTTCTGAGATCTGACTTCAAGTGGTGGCACTTCTGGCTCCTTACTGTTCAAAGAGTTTGTAGACAGTTGTCGTGGGACATCTTCCCACTATGTTTGTATAAAGCTCAGCGATTGGGCTGTATGAGAGGTAGGCGGAGTGAGGAGTCAGAAGGAGACGAGAGGAGAGGGAAGAGGAGGAGCTAGAAGGGGAGAGATGTAGGAGCCATGGAGAACCACGGGTCCAGGACGATCCTGGGTAACGATTTATATCTCAAGGTTAGATATTGGAAAACAACTCTAATTGTGTGGGCATTTTGTTAATTGAGCATTACCAAACATATAAAGCCTTTGGATAATCTTTAAGCATTAGAGTCTCATTTCTACCAGGTAGCGTGTGGATTGTGGGATGGTCTGGGCTCAGCCAAGCATTCTGGAGTCAGCGTGGTAGATTGGCAGAGCCATCCCCCACGCTGGTGTCTCGTGGGTGCCACAGCCGGTGTCTCTGGCCAGCCTGAGCCTCGGCAGCAGCGAGAACACATGGCTGCTGGTGGATTCAGGCCTTGCCTAGTCGGGAACATGGTGGCCCTATAACAACAAGCCAGATTGGGTGCCGATGTTTTTAAATATTATCATCAACAGACAGTCTCTTTCACCTGCTTTCAGGACATGTGTTCATCCAGTCTGAACCTGTTAGGATTAATTAAGTTGAGCTGTGACTTCCACTTCATTGATCTCCAACAATTCTGAGGGGAGGTAATTCTGTTCTCTATGTGATTCAGAGGCTCCAATGATCCTGGTGTCTGCTTAGCCTCTGTAGTGGTTTGAATGAGAACGGCCCCAATAGGCTTGTGTCTGAATGCTTTGCCCCAGTTTGTGAAACTGTTTGGTAAGGACTTATGTGAGAAGATGGGTTGTTGGGTGTGGGCTTTGAGGTTTCAAAAGCCCATACGATTGGAGTTACCTCTCTGCCCTGTCCTTTTTGGCTGAACAAATCAGCTGTTGGCTACTGCACTAGCACCAGGCCTGCCTGCCTGCTCCCATTTTCTCTGACATGATGGTCATGAACTCACCCTCTAAGACTGTAAACAAGCCTACAAATTAAACAATTTATTTTGTAAGTTGCCTGAGTAATGGTGTCTCTTCACAGCAACAGAAAAGTAACTAATCCCTGATAGAGGACTATGTCCGGAGGTTCTCAGCCCGGCAGCTACAAACTGTTTCACACTGGCCCCCTGAAGTTGCCAGAAATATACCAGAAGTGAGGTCTTTGGTGTAGAGACTGCAAAGGCTAGGTGATTTCTAAGTCTGGGTTGTAAAGAAAATCACAGACCTGAGCCTAGGAGATGGTTGTGGTGCAAACCTAATGATCAGAGTTCAAGCCCGGAATCCATCTAAATGTGGAAGGAGAGACTAAATTCCCCAGAAGTTGTCCCCCGACTGACCTCTACATCTGTGCACTGGCAATTATACACAACACACAGAGAGACAGAGTAAAATTTAAAAGAATAAAACTCCAGAACTCTGATTGTTTATTACAGAAGACAGGGGTAGATTTTTCTAGTTTGGGTAGTGTTTCCCTTTCTATCTGCTTTTGTTTTGTGACAAGGTGGTAACTCGGTAGCCCAGGCTTGGTCGGAACTCGCTACATAGACCATGCTGGTCTCCAACTCACTGCAATCCTCCTGCCTCAATCTGTCAAACTCTGGGGTTCCAATGTGAGGCATCACTCATGGCTTTTTTTGTCGTTACCCACATCCTTTCCTTTCTGTCTTTCAACTGCCACATATGTAGGAAGTTTAAGGTCCCTGGTCCCTCAAACCAACCGCTGAGGATGCTAAGCATCTAGAATGGGTAGGCCTGCTCAGCTAGGCTCTCGCGGGAGCCCAGAGGGCGTCCCCGCCCCCTCCCGCCACGTGATCTCGCGGACCGCAGGCCCCGCCCCTGGGCGCCTAGAGGCCACGTCGACGGTGGCGGGGAGGGGCGACCAATGGCGCGCGTGCGTGCCCCGCCCCTCCTGCGCGGCCCGGATGAAGAGTAACGCCATTACCGCCAGAGCCTCCAAGAGCCCTAGCGGACGCGCAGTGGACGCTGGCCGGCCGCACCATGAGACTCCTCCCCCGCCTGCTGCTGCTGTTCCTCCTGGCCTTCCCCGCCGCCGTGCTGCTCCGAGGCGGCCCCGGAGGTGAGGGGCGCGGGGCTGGGCTGGACACCACGAACGCCCCCTCCCCGCACGATTCTCGAGGGCCGTGCTACCCCCCGGGACTCCCCCGAAGCCCGGCGCCCTCTGCGAGCGCGGGCCCGAAGCCCTCGGTCCGCGGGACCCACGCCAGGGCCGGCCTTGCTTCTCCGCCCGCGCTCGCCGCGGGCCGCCTGTCTCCAGCTTCTGCGCTGACGTGTCTCTAGCCCCACGCCGGCGCGCCTCCATTCATTCGCCCACAGTCGATTCTCCACCTCGGCGCCGTGGATCACCTTCGCTCGGTCCCCTCGCTTGTCCATCATGGTCTGTGTGGACCGCGAGGCTCGGTGTCCAAAACTGCCCCTGCTTGTCAGCCGCTAACGAAGAGTCCCGGCCGGATGGCTTTCTTCTTCGTTTCTAATTTTTCTTCCCTCCCTCTCCCTTTTCCAGCCAGTTTTTGCTGGTTGGAAATATGCTTGGAAAAAGTTATTTCGAGCTTTATAAGTTTATTCTTTCCAACGATTAACCTGGGGTAAAAACTTGGCAGAATGTAAAAACGTAGAAACTTTGTTCCCCTTACCGTCATTTGTATTCATTTTGCTAGTTTATAAAAAAAAACAACTACTTTGAATGGTCATCAGAATTCCTTTTCTTTAAGTTTCTGTGGTCCAGGGCATGAGAAATAACGATCCATGTTCTTGAGCTCTTTAGCTGAGCAAACAAGTGCTTGGCTTCTGTTTAGTGGCTAGTATGAGTTTGAATTATGATTGTTGGGGATTGTGGCTAGGAGTGTGATGGGGACACAGGACAGATGTTGAGACAGAGTCTCATGTAGGTAGCCCTGGCTGATGGCTGGCTTGGAAGTCGGTGGCCTAGCTAGCGCGTCCTTGAACTTATGATCCTTGTGCCTGTACGTCTAGGGTGCTGGGTTTCAGTTGTCTGTCACCACACCCCGAGGATGAAGTGGTGGGGATGAACCCTGGGCTTCCAGCCTGCCTGGCATGCGAGGCACGTGCGCTACAACCGTGGACCTTTGGGGGTCTTCCTTCCCCCCCCCCTTCTTTCTTCCTTTCTTCTGGCTTTTGAAAATGACCTGTAAACTATGAATGAACTTTTAATTCAGGAAAGTAAAAAGACTTTAAAGAATGCATGGCTTTAAAGATACTGTTTTCTCTTGGGCTTTGCACATGTGGCGCTTCCAGCATTTTCTTTCCCTACTGAAATGCCACATCATCGCTGTCTGAGAAGTGGTAATAAGAACTGCTTGAACTTTAAAGGGCTTTTTAGAGTTTTGCCTGAAAGTGATGTAGTGTGATTTGTTGAAAAAGTTTTGTTAACAAGTCTGGTTTATAACTTAGCATTATGATTACCCTTTTTTTTTGATATTTTAAATCTGTCTGAAAATATACTTGAAGTCATGTGCAAAAATTATTGGATTTTTTTTCTTTGCTACTAACCACGAAGCTACAACCATTTAATTTTTTTATTATATTTAGTGGTGTGTCTGTGTCTGTGTGTCTGTGTCTGTCTGTCTGTCTGTCTGTCTGCCTTGCAATGTATATCCAGAGGCTAGAAGACAATTTGCAGGGTGCATATCAAGAATCAAATTCACCTGGTCAGGCTTGGTAGCAGGTGCCCTTAACCACTGAGCCATTTGGCCTGCCCTGTTTTTTGTGTCTTTTAATATTAAAAACACTTCCATTAAAATTATCATGCAATAGTTAAGACTACTAGTAAGAAATGTAAGTACTTTTGTGCAGTGACATTGCTCAACTGAACAGGGAGACTATATTATGTTAGGTAGAACATTTTCTTGTCTAGACCTGATGTTTAAAGACAGTAATGAAGGTTAACTTCATTTTGTATTTTATTTTCAGGGTCATTAGCCATGGCTCAAGATCTTACAGAAGATGAAGAAACAGTGGAAGATTCAATAATTGAAGATGAAGATGATGAAGCTGAAGTAGAAGAAGATGAACCCACAGATTTGGTAAGTTCGATATACTATATTTAGAATATATATACACACATATATATGTATATATTTATATATATGTGTATATATATATGATAAATTCTGAGCTAGAGAGTCCATCTAAGAATGTATTCTTTTTATAGGCAAGTTTGCTAATTATTTCTTAAATTATATGTCTGCGTAAGTTTTTGTATGGTACTTGGATGTGAGTGTAAATGCCTGGTGAGGCCAGGGGCGTTGGATCACTGGGAGCTGGAGTTACAGAGAGTTGTGATCTTTCAGACATGGGTCCTCTGCAAAAGCAGTATGTGCTCTGAGCCTCTGACTCTCTCTCTCTCTCTCCCCTGGGTGAAGTCTGCCTAAGGGCAAGTCATTGAGCATGGCCACAGAGGTGTCTGGAATAGTGAGGAGACACAATAACTGAGGAAGTGAAGAGCATCTGTGTGTGAGTGGAGATGGAACTGTAGCAGGAAGGCAGCACCAACCCCTGAGATGTTACATTTGGAGCCTGTGGCACTCAGCTTCCTCAGTCTGCCTTTTCTTTTCTGTGCTTGTAACCTGCCATTGACTCCTATGGGGGCATCTCTACCATGTAGCAAGGTATTGTTCTGGGTACTAGATTGAACAGATATTTTCTCTGCTTTCTTAAAGTTGATATTTTTTTGGGTAATGAGTGTGTATTTAGGGAGCAGGGGTTGAAGAGCATGTGATAAAATACTCCTTATGTGAGTAAGGGTTAGAGATGATCACTTAGAAGCTAGCTCTTAAATTTGTGCTCAAATAATGATAGTAAGAATACCTGGCTCAAGAGGCAGGCGGATTTCTGAGTTCGAGAGTTCGAGGCTAGCCTGGTCTACAGAGTGAGTTCCAGGACAGCCAGGGCTACACAGAGAAACCCTGTCTCAAAAAAAAGAAAGAAGGAAGGAAAAGGTGGCTCAGCAGTAAAGACGCTGACTTCTCTTCCAGAGGACTTGGGTTCTCTTCCTCTGCACCCGTACAGCTACTCACAGACATCTGTAATTCTAGTTCCTGGGGGTCAGGTGACCTTTTCTGGCGTCCATGGATGCTGCTTGCTTGTATATGGTCCATAGATATACATGAAGACAAAACACCCATAAACAGAAAGTTTAAAAAAAAAAAAAAAAGAAAATTGGTCATTAGGTCAAATTAGGGTCATTGCAACAACATGCTTTCTGCTAATCTGCTAATTTTATTTCCTGCCTCTGACCTCCATAGATCTTTTTTGTTTAAGTTTTCATTTTTATGGACCTGCCAGCCACTTAAGCTGGTGCTTCGCTCTGCTGTTTGTTGGTGGTGGTGTAGTTGGTGGTTGTGTTGCTGCTGTTAATGATTTGATATATAGGCACATAATGTTTCATCTGAGTAGAAGACCTTGAGTGTGTATGCTTTTCTGGCTCCCCTACCTTTCAGAGACCTTTATTGGCGATCTGTGTCAAGCCTTACACTCCGAGGCTCTGCTTCTTCAAGCCGTCTCATTACATGAGCAGCCTTGATTAGATCAATACGTTCCTGTTTCATGGTTGTAAACATTTGACCAAAGTAGTGCTTTGGGTAAGGTGATTTAGAGTATATTGGAATTAATTTAGGATTAAAGATATTTAGGGCTAGCTGGGCGGTGGTGGCGCACGCCTTTAATCCCAGTACTTGGGAGGCAGAGGTAGGTGGATTTCTGAGTTCGAGGCCAGCCTGGTCTACAGAGTGAGTTCCAGGACAGCCCGGGCTGGCTACACAGAGAAACCCTGTCTCGAAAAGCAAACAAATATATATATATATATTTTAGGGCTTTGAAATTTGAGCCTATGTGATAGTAATTGATTGTATCATTTTTCTGAATTACTTGAGCTTTCTGGCACTGGAATGTACTTACTGTGGAGAAAGAAGATCCAAAAGGAAAGAATTAGGTCTTTTTAAGAAATTGGTTCGAATTTTTCTTACTACAAAAATAAATGGTCAAGATAAGCTGAAACGGGATGCAGAAGTGTCTTGTTATGTGTAGTCTGTTGAAGAAAGGTAAACTCTTGGAGCCACAGCCCTACAGATGTTACTCCTGCAGCCGTGAGCTGGAGCTTTGGTTGTAACTGTTTCCTAAGTTTCTCATTAGCAACTTACACTCAGCAGTCAAGACATGGAGGGATTGGAGATTATGGCAGAGTCCTGAGTTGTCTTGAGATTGATGCATACACTCACGCACCCTTGATTACACTCTTCCAAAGCTGGAGGTTGAGGGAGGGGAGACAGAGGGAGAGAGGGGGAGATAGAGAGAGATGTGATCCAGGAGATGGCTTCCCATGGAGAAAGAGGCTCATGCATTGTACTCAGGATGTTCTGACACCTAAATTTCCCAGTGCAGAAACTGCACTATATAAATTGTGATAGTAGGGGACTGTGTTCATGTTCTCCACTTAACAAAAGGAGAAGAGAGAACTGATAGACTAGAGCCAACAAAGCAGTATTTTATCCCAGTCTAGGAAATTCAGTGATTTTTTTTTCCAGCCCTTTCACAGCAATCTGTTTTTAATGTTTCCCCTAGGCAGAAGATAAAGAAGAAGAAGATGTGTCTAGTGAACCAGAAGCTTCACCGAGTGCAGACACAACTATTCTATTTGTAAAAGGAGAAGGTAATGCAAAATTGTTTGTTTTAATTCCAGTCTTAAACATGTGAATACTGATATGTATAGTAATGCTGACTTTTAAAGGGAAAATTAAATACTACTTGGTTTACTAGAAATGAAACATTATTCTCAGAGATACTTTTAAAAACATGATGTATATACGTGTGCCACTGGGAGCATGAAGATAGCTCGAAGGAGGCCTACCCTTCCCCTGTGGGTTCCAGGGACCAAACTCAGGTTGTTGGGCTTGCATGCCAGCATTTTTACCCACTCAGCCATCTTACCAGCCCCAAAGTCACCATTCTTGAAACGTCTTCAAAGCTGTGTCAGTAATATTTTGTTTTGTTTTGAGGACTTGAGCTTAATCCCTGGAACCTCGTTAAAGAGCCAGCGATCACATGAAAAAGCCAGTTAGGGTGGTTCATGGAGAACGTGAGGCAGCAGCTATCCTGGGGTGGATTAGCACTGCAGAGAGGAGAGCCCTTCCGCAGCAAGTGAAGGAGAGAACTGACTCCCAGAAGCTGTCCTCTGCTCTGCCTGTGTACAGCCACACTCTCACATACTAGCTTCCAAAAGGAATTCATTTTGTTGGCATTGAATTCAAGATCCTCCTGCCTCAGCCCCCTAAGTGTTGGGATTACAGACATGAATCGTCAGGCCTGTCTGGAATTGGGGAGTATATTTGAATGTTTGAATGTCAGGAAAATACTAAATCTCTACAATTAAGGTCTTCGTTATAGCATAGCATTAATTTGAAAAAGAAACAAGAAACTTATGTTTACATATTTCTTGCTCCAAATGCATGAGACCAGAAGTGGATTTTTGTTTGTTTGTTTTGTTCTGATGTGGTTTTGGGTTTTAGAACAATGAGCTTTTTGGAGGATGGAGTTTATTTCATGTAGCCTTACCACTTGAGACTTGGATTTTCCACTTGTAGCATCTTGTTGGCCTACAAAGGTTTAGCCTTTGGAGCATTTCCAATCTTCCAGTTAGGGCTCCTCAAATTCTTGAGTACATTTATTTATTGAGGGCTTTGTGGATAGCATTGTTCTTAATACTTTGTAGTATTTATTTAATCCCAGCAAACCCTGAGGATATAGTTATTGTTGATCTAGTTTTAGAGAGGTTAAGAAACTTGTCGGGTTACCCAGAGTATAAAATAGATTGCAGAGACAGGATTCAAGCCCAGATATGTCTATTCTATAGCCTGTGTTGTACTAGGTGATCAGCCCATTAGACTGTCTACAATGTTACAGAAGACTTACCATCAGAAAACATTAGTTTTCTTGGTCTTAAGTATTCTGTTTTCTATATATTCCAACCTTATGCCCACAGAAAGTTATTGAATTGCTGGGGATGTGCTCTGTAGTTATTCACTCACATACCTAGAATGTACAAAGCCCCATTCTGTTCTCAGCACTTTAGTTGAGGGAATTTGGGTTTGTGACTCCTCATTTACTTTGTAGTAATATACTGAGTTGTAAAAACCTCTTGGGTGATAATCTTGCTACTATGATTTTCTTAGCCTCTTAATTTGGATGTTATTTGGCTGAAATTGTAATACCCAGTTTATGTCCTAAATTGGAATCCCAGAAAACAGACAAAGACTGCATTTAGACTACAGCTCTGGATTTTCCAGCGCTGATGCACAGTCTAGAGTGCTCTGCTGAGGAGAGTTCTGAAACCATGTCCTTGTCTGCATTTCATTTTCATCCTGACCCTACCTCTCCTATTTTGTGTTTTAGATTTTCCAGCAAACAACATCGTGAAGTTCCTGGTGGGCTTTACAAACAAGGGGACAGAAGATTTTATTGTTGAATCGCTAGATGCCTCATTCCGTTATCCTCAGGACTATCAGTTTTACATCCAGAATTTCACAGCTCTTCCTCTAAACACTATAGTGCCACCCCAGAGACAGGCGACTTTTGAGTATTCCTTCATTCCTGCAGAGCCTATGGGGGGACGGCCCTTTGGCCTGGTCATCAATCTGAACTACAAAGATTTGAACGTAAGACCTTTTGAGTTGTATTTTGTTTTTGCTAGAGATTACAGTGGACAGTGACCACTGTCCTGTCTGTTTAAGTGCTTATTTTGTGATTCAAACTGTAATAGGTACCAGGAATACAAAGGGAATTGCCTGTCTGTCTCTATCTACATTTATGAGGTGGTGAGAGAGATGGCCCAAAATAAGCACTGGTGTAGTGGTGAGGGGTGCACGCCTGAGCTGTGTGCTGAGTCACGGTGTGCTGCTTTGAGTGTGGCAAAATGACCTGAACAGGATCTTGACAAGGGCAAGGAAGTGTACAGTGCATCTGCTCTTACTTGGCTGCTATTGAATGGTCAGACATTTGTTCTGTCCTACTGTGTTATAGACGTTCTGCCCATTTAAATGCTTCTAAAGACTTTGTTACTGTTTTGGTCTTTTGTATAATCATAAGTAAAATACAACCCACCCTAAAATACAGTTTTAGCAGCCTTATGTGTTATTTCACATATGCCTGAGAGGAATGTACTGCAGGGAGTAGACCCCATGTGACAGCTCTAGATGAGGGTGTGTTTACCCATCCTTTCCAAGAGCTCCCTGTGAGGAGTGGGTTCATGCCTTCCTGACCACATGTTAATGCCTTAACCTTGTATCTTCAGCCAGGCCCTGCATTGTGGTATGCTTTCCTGTAAGTTAGTGCAGAGGAAAAGCTTCTCATTCTGTCTTCAATGAGACATTTAAATAGTTAGGGTTATTTCATTTCACTGTCTTATCATTTCATAGTTTAAGTAGCGCTGAACTGAGTTTGGTTTCATAGTGCTTCCTGTGGAAGGGCAGCTGTGTGTGTCTCAGTGGTTCCCTGTATTGGAAAACTAACGTTTGCTTATTTATTTAATTTATGTGAGTACACTATCACTGTCTTCAGACACAGCAGATGAGGACATTGGATTTCAAAACAGATGGCTGTACCATGTGGTTATTGGGAATTGAACTTGGGACCTCTGGGAGAGCTGTAGCCCATCAAAATTGTTTTAAGATGATAATGGAAAAAAATACTTGGTACTGGAAGTCACTGGTTTGTTCCTTAAAGTGGAGCTGGTTTCCAGTCCACTTTGAGTTTAGAGTGCAGGCCTGATTTTGTCCGCCTCTGCTCCTTAAATGATGTGCTCTGCAGCTGCCACTGTCTTGTTTGCTGATTCCATCTGGAGGCTGGGGCTGCTGAGGAGCTCTGTGGCTGAGACCTTCACTGCTGTCCCTGCTCCTGCAGAAAGTAGAGGGTGGCTTTGGAAAGCTTCTAGGTATTTTTATTTTATAGGAGAATTGGACTTGGCATTGAATAGTACAATTATGGCTTTGTGGTCTCTTATAACTAATGGCAGGAAAGTCAAGTCTATTAGGATAACAGTTTTGAGAACACTTGTAATTCTTTGAGCACATCTCACATGTGAATTTAAACATCTGTTTCTTAAACAGGGCAATGTATTCCAGGATGCTGTCTTCAATCAGACGGTCACAGTTATTGAAAGAGAGGACGGGTTAGATGGAGAAACGTGAGTAAAGCTGGGCTGTAGATCTGGAGCTCACAGCTCGATCTGGAAGGTGCTGTGCTCAGATTGCAGCACACCTTTAAATGGTCAGAGTGTGATGGCCCTACAGACTGATGAAGTACAGAGTCCATACCTAATGTGGTTCTCGTACCTATTAATGCAAGAAAGAACGGGACCTGAAGCTGTGCTTCTACAAAGACGGTAGTTGACTGTTTCCTTCTCAGATTCTTTTCTGCCCCATTCTTTAAGTTGAGCCTTAGCATATCTAAATTCATGCTTCTGAGATAATTACATAAATTAGAACGTTTTTTTCTTAAAAATGTTTTGTTCTGAGTGAAGAATTATCTCTGCACTTAAATGTGACTCACTTGAAGGGATTTATAAATCCAACTATGAAAAATGATATAAATGTGAGAAAAAACTACTGAAATGGTCTTAAAACACACTTTAGATTGTAGAATTTTTTTTTATTGACAGTGTTCTTAACTAAATAAAAGGAAATTTGTAAAGCTTTTTGCCTGAAATTAGTTAAAATGATGTATTTCTTTTTGTTACATGTTGTTTGAAACTATTGTAGTGCATATTGGACTTTTTTTTTTTAGATATGGTATTTATAAATTAACATCAGCTATATTTTCTTTTTTCTGTGCCAGAATTTTTATGTATATGTTCCTTGCTGGTCTTGGGCTTCTAGTTGTTGTTGGCCTTCATCAACTCCTCGAATCTAGAAAGGTAATTATGAATGAGCAACCCTGCAAGCCGCATTCAGAGTTACAGTGCTGACTGCACGGGGTTCTCCAGGCTTCTCACTGTGCTGTAGGTTTGTGGACTTGGAACGTTGTTGGTCCTTTTTGCAACAATACCTAGACAGGGCTTTGGATATGTGACTTGAATTTGTTGATATGTGTATACGTGCAGTTAGTGTACTGATTGCCCTCTACAGTGGTGTTTACACTTATACTGTAGTAATGTTCCTTGAGTTCAGAAAGATTTTGTTCTACTTAATACATTTTTCTCATGGATAGGTTGTATTATCTGTAATTAACCTATTTATTTGGGCTAGAATTCTTAGTAGGAGTGCTTTTTTATGTTTTGAGAATTTATGGGCTATGTAAAACTGGTTAGTTAGTTAGTTTCTTCCTGCTAGGCAAGCATTTAACACTGAACTGTAACTACAGCCCTTGTTTTTTGAGACAGGGTTTTCCTGTGTAGTCTTTAAGGCCTTAGAGTCCAGTGTAGCTCAGTCTGGGGCTCTCGTGATCCTCCTGTATCCTCCCAGGTGCTGGGATTACAAACCTATACCAACGTTCCCCACAGAACTTTGGGATGGCCTTACTATGTAGATCTGGCTGCCTGGAGCTTACCATGTACACTAGCTGGACTCAACTTAAAAATATTCACCTGCTTCTGCCTCTTGAGTGTTGGAATTAAAGGTGTGAACCACCATGTCCAGCTTCCTGTACAGATTTTGGTTTTTAAATTTCATAGCAAAGCTAAAGGAAATGGAATTAAATGGGTTTTATTTGCAGTATTTCAGGAGGTGGACTATAAAGTCCCTCTCTCTTGTTTTTTTTTTTTTGTTGTTGTTTAACACTGTAGCCATTTTCAGGGACCTTAAAGACTTCATCTGTGCTTAAGGCTGGTAACATGGCATCATTATTGCCAGCCTTTTCTAAATTTCTGCAGAAACATTGAGATAAACAGATTAATTGGCTGGCTTTGTTATATGTTTCATGTAGCCTAACTTGGCCTTGAACTCACTGTGTTGCAAAGGCAGGCTTTGAATTCCTGGTCTTTCTGTATCTCCCTGCAGTGTACTGGGATTGCATGTACACACTATGCCTTGAAAATTTCACACTCTTCAGTGAAGTCAATGTTGTTATCCTATATGAGATTTTATGTGTTTTGTGTCTGTACCTATTCTTTAATTGTATTTCGCAGACAAGATTTCACAAGATTGTCTGCTTACAACATTTCAGTAATTATCCTTAATTTCATTGATTGTAAATTTATTCTTTAGAAAGAAAATCAGTGATATAACAACAAATTAAGTTCTGTAGCAAGGGTAAGGATCTTTATAGGCTGAAAATGATCAAGAAGATTAATCTTTGAAAGCATTTTCCTCTTATGGCATGTGTACATGTGCATTCACATGTGTGTACTTTGGCACATGTAAGGAGGTCAGAGGTCAATTTGGAGTTGATTTCTTCCCTTCTACCATTTGGGACCCTGGGATCAAATGCAGGTCATCAGGCTTGGTGGCGAGCATCTTTACTCACTAAGAAGCCATCTTGCTAGCTCAAGACTGACTGTATAGTTTAGCATGCTTTCATCCTCCTAGCAGATAAAATGTGTACTAGGGTGTTTTAGAACAAGAAAAGAATGGAACTTGTCTGCTAAGATACTCAAATTATTTATGTTGATCAGTGTTTTTAAAATTGGAATACACAGATGGTGGTGGCACACAACTTTAATCCCAGTACTTGGGAGGCAGAGGCAGGTGTGTCTCTGAGTTCTTGGCCAGCATGGTCTACAGAGTTCCAGAACACCAGAGCTATAAAGAAAAACATTGCCACAAAACAAAAACTTTAGTATCAACAGTGTTGTGACGTGTCTTTTAAAAACTCCATCTTTTGTTCTTGTAGCGCAAGAGACCCATACAGAAAGTAGAAATGGGCACCTCGAGTCAAAATGATGTCGACATGAGTTGGATTCCTCAGGAAACTTTGAATCAGATCAGTAAGTAGCCTTACAAACTTGGTGAGAAGTTTTTCTTTAAATGGAAATTAGTTTTGATTCAGCCAAAAATGTTTGGTCAGCACTATTTAACATTGATCTCTTCCGTTGCTTGTTAGACTCTAGCATAACGACTAGTGACAGACACACTTAATGACTTGTTCTGTTTATAGTGTTTTATGGTTTAATTTGGAAGTGTTTTCAAACATGCAGCTTGTTTGTAAATGTCTGACTTCTTTCTAATCTGTTTCCTGTCTTTTTTTCCTTCCCGTTGCTTCAGTGCAGAGTAGAAGAGGTGAGATGATTAACTTCTTCAGTAGGCTTTGCTACAGTTTTGTACTCTTGCATAGTGCATGAATACAGCAAGTTTAATGAATAGAACTGTATTTTTTTTGGAACACTGCTAAAGTACTTTTGAAAGAATGAATCTAAAATACTACTTAATATATTGTGTTTTTTTGTTAATGAACAGTTTAATAAATACACTAATTTTTATGAAGAATATAGAAAAAATTTCTCCATTTGGTGAGTGACTTTTTAAAAAGCACTTGTGGGTCTGGAAAGCTTGCTCAGTGGTCTCTTCCAGAGGAACAGAGTCAGTTCCCAAGCACCCTCATGGCAGGTCACAGCTGTTTGGAACTCCAGTTCTAGAGGATCCAACCTCTTTTCTGGCCTCCAGGCACTGTGGTGCACAGACATCTGTGCAGGCAAAACACTCATTCATACATGTTAAAAGAAGGAAATCATTCAAGTTTATAAAATTCTGTCCTTGACATCACTAACACCATTTTCTATAAATAGTCAGCACTTACATAGTAAAACAATTTTCTGTACATATTTATTTCTCTTAATGTCCTGTCCACGTGGTAATCACAATGTCCAAGGCCTCATTTTCCTGCCTCCAGCTCATATGTATCCTACAGTGTAGGACACTTGGAGGCATTTTGAGCTTTGACTAATCAGATTTTCTGATAAGCATTTTACATTTTAAATTTTAAGGTAGAGTGGGTCTACTTTCCTTTAAGTTTTTTTATTATTATTATTAATCTGTGGACTCACACTTTTGCTGATTTTTTTTCCATAATAGAAAAGAATTAGAGTCATCCCTTAATAACGTTTTAAATGTATACAAAACCACAAATACAAAGAGAACTTGTCATGTGATTGCCATTACACGGACTGGGAGGACGGTTCAGTTGGTGTGCTGTGCTGCACAAGCGTGAAGCCTGCTGCTGTGACCCAGAACTCAGCCACAGGCAGTGGGATGGGCTTGTAACCTCAACACACGGGGGTGGAAGCGAGCAGCTCACTGGGCTTGCTGGTCAGCCTAGCCTACTGATGAGCCAGTAAGCTTCTAAACAAGATGGGTGGCTCCTGACCAAAACACCCAAAGTTGTCTTCTGGCCTCTACATAAATAAATACACCCTTGACGTGAACACATGATCATTGTGTGTCAATAATTTAACAAAGAATTCAGGTCAGGTGTGGTAGTAAATGCCTTAATTTTAGGATTTAAAGGCTGAGGCAGAAGGATCACATTTTGTGTACTTTCCTGGGCTCTATAACAAGATTCGCTCCAAAACCAAACAAAAGTGAGCTGAAGTTAGCTTCTATGAACTCCTAGGTGAGGGGTATCCTTTGATGTTGTCTGAGTGTCTGGTGGCATGTTGCCTTTGACTACTAAAAATCCGGACAATGACACTGTTGCCGTTTTCTTGTGGTGAGATGGCTTGGCGTGGTTAGCATGCTGTAAATGAGTGGTGGCGGCACTCTGTCTGTTTTCTGCAGTATGATTTGAGGGTTTTTCCTCACATTCATAATATCTTTTTCTCCACCTAGAGTTTAAAGTTTACTCTGGAAAGATAAAGTATTTTGACTTTAAGTAGTTTGGAGTTGTTTTTTCCTTAGGTTTTGTTTTGCTTTGCTCCTCCCACCCTTAATAGGGAGTTATGGTAAATGTTTGATAGCTGAAAAAGTCATGATACATATGTGTGATTACTCTTTGTTTAAACACAGTGCTTTTTTTCTGCTGTTAAGGTTCCCCCAAAACAAATGACTGTAGAGTCTTACAGACTGCTCTCTGCCTGCCTGCTGTCTAATCTGAGCAGGCCATCGTTTTAAAAGTTAGCTGAAGTGACTCTTTTGAGTAGAATTAAACAGACATCAGAAGTCCTCAGAAGGACCCATCGTGTTTCCCGTGCTCCAGATGGTTGGATCACTGGGCTTTAGTAGTCACGTCATCACTGGGCAGTGGTGGCACACGCCTTTAATCCCAGCACTTGGGAGGCAGAGGCAGGTGGATTTCTGAGTTCGAGGCTAGCCTGGTCTACAGAGTGAGTTCCAGGACAGCCAGGGCTACATAGAGAAACCCTGTCTCGAAAAAAACAAAAAACAAACAAACAAAAAAAGTAGTCACATCATCAATACTGCTCACAGTGATGGCTTAATGAGAGACTGAGAAGTGCTTCCTCAATCTTCAGATTATATATTCAGCTTGTTACTTATTTTAACTTTTTTTTTTTTAAATTATTCAACTGGAAACGTGTGCAGAAATAAGAGTATCCTTAGTCTTTAAATATTGTTGATAAACATTTACTATAAATAAATCCTGACCTAGTAATTTTTTAGGAAAAAGAATGTTAGGCATATTGTGTTTCATTTCATAAAATGCTTATAAATAAGCCTCACAACTTAGTGAAAGTACTTTTATAATATGCAGGAATCTTTTGGTAGTGACAGGAGATGACAGGACATTTATGGTGCCCAACCTGGTCTTGTACAAGAGTTCAGATGATTCTACTGCCTCAGCAGTTAGCACACAACACCAGGCTCTAAATGTTTTCTGTATTTTTATTTTAAAAAAATAAAAGCTTACTTGACAGTGAGGTGTTGTGCCTGGTGTGTAGAGTATACCTAGAACGTGAAGAGAGGGTGAGTCAGACCTTCACTTGTTCCTTTCTTCTGAAACAGTTTTGCTAGATACAGCCCAGGCTGCGCTCGGACTCCACTTCCCCAGGGCCGAGGGTACAAGCATGCACCACCATGCCCATCTCAGCCCTCTGTTTCTAAAAGAAGCATTAGATTATTTCTTTAATAAGATAGAAGAAATTCAGCACCACCTATATTTCTGTTAACTTCTAAAGAAAGGCTGTGTACTGGAGTGGTTTTAACATTGAGGTACATTATAATGGCCTTTGTCTGCTTCTTCCAGTTAAATTTTTAGAGTTGCCAAAACTTAATGCACCCACAAACACTAAATTTTGTGTTAATTCCCAACATAAATATGCTCCAAATGTGTCATATCTTTTAAATATTGTATTTGTTTGTGAAGCAGAGTCTCACAGTAGTCCTTGCAAGGTTTGAACTCAGAGTCCTCCTGCATCCATCTTCCAAGTACTGGGACCTCTCTGCCTGGGTCTTTTGAAGTATTTTAAAGTATTTCAGAATTCTTACTTCTGCACTTGTAAGCATGTTGTTGAATGTGTATGGTGTCTGCAGCAATACAGCAAACATTGTCCAATCATTTCCTATGTTAGATATGAAAATTTTATTTTAATTGGTATTACTCTAGAAGGATATTTTTAAAGTATTTTAAAAAGTAAGAGGTATTTGTTATGGGGTGTCGGTGTGAGAGAAGTGTGTGTGTGTGTGTGTGTGTGTGTGTGTGTGTGTGTGTGTGTGTATAGTTTAAAGCTGCCTGAGAGGTAGAACTCTCTGAGTTAGTTAGCTGTAACTTGTTCCTTTTCTTTCAGATAAAGCTTCTCCGAGAAGGCTGCCCAGGAAGCGGGCGCAGAAGAGATCGGTGGGATCTGATGAGTAAATGTTGTTTGTGCATCAGTCCAGTCTGAGCTTCCCCTGCTCTATGTTCCCGGCCTCCTGGGACTTAGTGCAGAGAAGCCATGTCACCATAGACGGCACTTCTGCTTATGTGTGGACTGAGCAGTCGGAGTCGTGGCCATAAGATTGCTGAAATGCACTGCATTTGTTTTCTAAAGTAACACATTTGGGTTTTTTAAAACCATTAAACTGTGGGTGTGGATGTCTGTGAGCAGTTGTCTTACCAGAGTCATTGTTAAACTACCTGAAATACGCCTTTAGAATGCTCAGCAAAACGCTCTTGCCGCTTCCCTGTGATAATTCCCATTTCTGCTCCCAAGTTCAATTTATATTTTTTTCCCAGTGTGGTTTTAGGTGTGAATTGTTTTGAGGAAATAATTTGTTTATTTCTCGGAATTGATCAAATCCAATCTGATGGCACAAACCGGCCTTTTGCTTACTGTCTGGCACAGCTTGTATTCTAACTGCACAGCAGGGGTGGCAGCTGTGTGATCATCAGAGGCATGGTGGGTAGATTTGCTGTTGTTTGCTGTGTGCACCCTTCAAGAACTAACCAATGGAGTCAAAAAATTTTGGAATCACTAGCAACAAAATTGTGAAGCCTGACAGTTCTACTGACACTAGTGTATAAATCCTAATTCTGTGCCTGTTTTTTTTTTTTTCTTTTTCTTATTTTGTTTGTTTTTTTAACAAAGAATAGTATGTCTGTGCAAACTGGGCTGTTGTGTTGTCCATTGTCCCGTGTGGTCTGAGAGCCTCTGGGGTGACCTCTTTTCTTTACTTGTTTGTTGTTGGCTTTAAGCAGAGCATTTTGTTCTTAGTAGGAAGAATCTTTAAAAAAAATGTCAAACTCTGTAGTCCAAGGGGATCACATTTTAGGGGCAGGAATACATTTTAATTAATTCTAATCTCCAGAAATCTTAATTGGAAAGTTTTAAAGTAGTTACAAGGTTTATCCTTTGACCCTATCTTTTGGGGATTTTGAATGTTGACCTACTTTTTTTGTCTTTATTAATGTGAAAAATTCCCAAATTCTAAGCACTTAAGATTTCAAGACCAAAATTAAGTTGGGTTTGATGAAATGACTTTAGTTACTCCTGCCTGACCTAGTGAGTTACGTTTGGCATTGTCACACTAGGAAGTAAAGTAATGTTGAGTGTGACTGAGTAAGAGACTTCCTTCCCTCTGTCTTTGAAGCCATACTCTCCCTGCGTGTATCGTAAGGAAGTGGTCACTTCAGTAGCTCTTTTATTCCTGATCTTTTTCGTTCTTGTTTTTTTGTGGTCCAATCCCTTCCACCCACACCTAAAGGAAAGCAACAAAATAAAACACACACAGAAACAAAAGTTGTAAGCTGTTTAACGTGTAAACCAAAGCCAATAATGATTGAAGGTCTTCTGTGTCTTCTGTAATTGTTAATCACTTTGCAAAAGGGGCTGAAATGTCAAATTGCCTGTATTTGCATTTCTGGACTGTAAACTTTGTATGCCTGTAATATAATGTGTGTGGTTTTTAATTGAGCTGTATAATCCGTTTATTTTGAGGCCTGCGGAACTGTATGGTTTTTTTGACTTGATGTAATATAGGGGACCCTTCTCATTCTCAAAAAAAAACATTTTCCAGAACCTTCTCTGAATATCTAAATTTGGTAAGCTACTGTAACATACTACAGTAAGGTGTAAGTAATTAAATCCTTTAAATGGCCCATAGAGTTTAACTAAATACCAATAAAACATGAGGAGTTGCAGAAACTACACTTAACAGCTACCACGTTCTCACCCCTGAGTAATCGCCTCATATACCAGCTCTGTGGTTTCTGAGGCCCAGGTTAGAGCCTCAGGAGTGAAGAATGTATTACTTTTTAGTGTAGATGGGGAACAGTTGAGAACTTGAGTCTTCAGGTGCCAGGCGTCTGCTATAGCATCAGTAAGTATTTAGCAGAAACTAACTCCATAATGAATGGAATTCAATTCCACACATGGTTTGTTCAAGCACACTTAATAAGTAGTCTACTTTTAAATGTCTTTTTTTAAAATGTAAATACTTGGATGAAGCTTTTGTTTCAATATAGTCATTTACATCATGAACCTTGTTTTCAGAATTTATCTTTTGAACAGGTTGGTTTTAGAATCTGTTAAGTGAATTTAAAGATCATGTGTATCAAGCTGTGTCACCTAGATATTCAAGGAGAATGTCATGAAGCATGGACCTCGTCCTGGTTGTATAGCTTCATCATTTGGATCATGTACTGTGTAGTTAGGGACTTTGGGGACGATAACTGTCCACTAAAACTTTGCCTGAGGAGTTCGGAAAGGAGAAGTGAGACTCAGTATAAAAGGCTAAGGGGGAAGAATCAGGTAGAAATGAGAAGTAGCAGTGGCGGCAGAATAGAACTTGGTAGGCAGTACTGGGGTGCTGTCCTTCCTGTAGCTAGTTTCTCAGTGATAGAACACTGAAGCGGCCATGCAGAGACTAGAGGTGGAGGTCTGGTTACGTGCTGAATATGTAGCAGTCCGCTCCGTCCTGCAGTGCAGAGGCCTTCCTGCCCTTGCTTGGTGGTGCATTCCACTCAGGACTTTTGTTCGTTTTCAGTTGGGGTCTTACAACGTTGCTCAGCATGGTCTTGAATTCCTTCAGTATGGCGTGAAGTAGTTACAGTTTAACTCAGAACAATCTGTATGCCCTCATCAAGACTCTTATAGCCTAGATCCTTGATTTTTCTTTTGCACTCCAAAATTGTTTGTTAGCTTAATTTAAGACCATTTCTATATACAGTTGAGGTACTTACATGGTGTTGGATAACATCTACAGCCATATAACCAACCAGTAAACTTGGTCTGTTTCTTAGTGCCCTAATGGTCACATTTCTTGTTTAGCAGTGTGCTTATGATAATAGGTTTCACCTCTGCAGAATACTTCTTAGGGTCAACAGGATTTAGCACTTGCAGATTGCTCAGCAATAGTTGCTTCAGGGCATTAATTGTGTTGATGTCTGTATGGTTCTTTCCATTTTTCCTTTACACAAAACCTAGACTGGGATTATCTCTGAAGTGCTGGAAATCTCTCTAGATCTTAGAATTGTGTGGAACACAGACCGAGGCTGGTACCCTGCGGTAGCCTTTGTAAGAAAATGGGAAGGGAAGCTGGTTTATTAAACAGGAGTCCTGAGCTGTGGTCTGTGGGGCCCTCCTGTCAACAGCTCCCTGAGGCAGGAGCATTGTTCTCACTTTGTACATGGAAAAGAGTCATTGAATTTAAGTGACTTGGAGGCTGTTTGTTAAATATGGCTTCAGAGATGTCTTTTTTTAAAACCTTAGTGTTTTTTTTCCTTTCGCTCCATACAACATTTCAGCAATTTTATAAAACCAAGTATTTGTGCAACTTATACTTATTTTCTAGAATCCAGCAGCTATAAAGTTGAGATAGTATTGGTATTGAATATACAGGTGTACCATGCACACATTGAACACGCTTGCCACTTAGCTCATAGGCACTGTGTGAAATGCAACTCTGTACTTTGTGTGTGTGTGTGTGTGTGTGTGTAGAATTACTTGAATGGGAGATTTTTTATAATTTAGTTAACCACAATACCCTCATTTAATAATATACGTTATATGTCTCCTTAGTAAAACAGTCATGTTCTTTAAAACCGTGTGGCAGTGTGTGGTGATTTGTGCCTGCAATCCAGCACTGGGAAGGTTGAGGTAGAAGGATCTTGAGACAGACCAGCCTGGCCACATCCTAAGTTCTCATTTCAAAAAACAAAAACAGTGTGTTTGGATGGTTTGATTGTTGTTGTTGTTGTTGTTGTTGTTTTAAAGCTGAAATACCCATATTCATGTTAGAGATAGAGTGCATTATACAGGCAGGTTGGGGTTGAGACAGATCTGGGATTACAAGACCTCTGATCTAGTTTCTTTTCAGTTTGGATTTTCTTTAGACACAGTAAGACCTCACAAAGACAATCAGTGCATCTGGAAGTCCCAGAGGCTAGCTCTCTGGTCTTCAAGTCACAGGTAATTCGTGCCTGCTGTGTTCCTTTGCTTTCCCCTAATAGACTTCTGTAGGTGCCCTCGACAGTTGGTCCTCCCATTAGCATTTCTCTCTCTGCCCCATTGGGAGCCCTGAGCCTTGTGTGCTCACAGCCTGCAGCTCACACTCAGTTTGAAACCTGTTACTACATAAAGAAGCAACAGGGCAAAGGCAGGCAGGTCTCAGTTTGAGGTCAGCCTGCTCTACGTAGTATGTTCTAGACCAGCCAGAACTACATCGTGAGACCCTGGAATATAGTGAGTTCAAGAAAAAAGACAAGAACTGGGAGCGTAGCTCAGTTGATCATGGCCTAGCAAGCATGAGGATTTGAGGTTGGTCTCTAGAACCCACATGCAAATGCCAGGTGTGCCACGTGCTGCGGAAGTGGAGAGAACAGAAGGCTCCCTGGGACTTGCTGGCTGGCCCTGCCTCTAAGGTGGAGGACAGTATTCCTAAGATTGACACCAAAGGTTGTCCTCTGGTCTCCACACACCCTCAGAAAGTGCAGGCTCATTTTCACTTGACATTTTTGTCAAGTGATTGGTGTGATTCATAAATACTTTGATGGGGATGGAGAGAGGGCTCAGTGCTTAAAAGCACGTATTGTTCCGGCCGAGGACCTGAGTCGGTGCCTAGCACCCAGATTGGGTGGTCCAGAACAGTACTCACATATGTGTGTGTGTGTGTGTGTGTGTGTGTGTGTGTGTGTGTGTGTGTATATATTTACTTGTAAAATGAATAAAAATTCCTAGTAATGAACTCATTAGCCATGAAGCAGAATGAAAAACTGGGATCTGTCCCCTTGGAAACTAGAGGGCAGCTAGGTCTTAAGCCATAGCAGTAACCAAAAGTTTATTTACAGTCTTGTTCTTCATAAGCTGAGTGAGAACTTGAAATTCTGCTTTCTTAATTGTTTGGTTCTGTTAACTACAAACCTCTAGTCAGTGCAGACTATCAAATGGTGTTTCCAAATAGCTGTGTACTTAGAAAGGGGGAGGGGCAGGTCACATATCGCCAGAGTTGAGATTCCTGGGGCTCAGTTAGAGGCAACTCTGGTTTCTTCTCTGACAGCTTGCCCTCTGCCCCCTGGGTGGTTAGGTGTTTCTGGAGTCAAGTGCATGCAGTGTATGTTTTACACAACCAGCCATGACTGATGGCTGTTCTTGTGAATGTGTGGTACTGTTATACTACCCACGAAGTACAGGAAGGAAGGACAGTGTGCTACTTGAATTTAGATGTGAAATAATGCAGTCTGCTAACTATGCAAGGAGGGTTCTTTGAAGAAGTAAAAATTGGTGCTAAGGGTGTGTGGCTCAGTAGCATTTGATTAGCATGGGTGAGGCCCTAGGTTCAGTCCCCAGTACAAGGAGGGAAAGGGTAAGAAGGGTATGCAATGTTCCTAGCCTGGTGGGTTAATGATGAACCAGAGGGAGAAGGCTGGCAGGTCTTATAGTCCATCAGCTTGCAAGCTGGTGGCTCTTTGTCAGAATGTTTAAAGCAGTTATATTTCCAGTGAGGTTGTTGACCTTCAGAACACTGAGAACTTACCTTCTAAAATTCCTTTCTAAGGGGTGGTGGCGCACTCCTTTAGTCCTAGCACTTAGGAGGCAGAGGTAGATGGATCTATGTGAGTTTGAGGCCAGCCTGGTCTACAGAGTAAGTTCCAAGACAGCTAGAGCTACCCAGAGAAACCCTGTCTCAAAAAAAAAAAAAAAAAGGCTTTCAGCATCAGATCACATCGTCACCTAAAGACAATCTGTCTTGTTTTCAAGGGAAGCTTTTTAGAAATCAAATTAATCAGCCAGACAGAGCTTAACTTTGTTGAAGGAGGTTCTTGAAGTCTGAAGGCATTTTAGACAAAAGGATAAGAGACACTGAAAAATGGTCTATAGAGAGTATATAGAGCACTTGCCATAGTGTGCAAGACTGAGTTTGGTTCTCAACACCAAGAAACAAACATGTCCACGCTGGATTTATCAGGCACTCTCTCCATGTTCATTCACAGTCACCGCCTGTGCACATAGCTTCAGGGATCAAGAACACCCGCCTCTGTGCTCGGTTGCTGTCTTGAACTTGGAGGTGTAAAGGTTGGATGAGCACGTGCTTCTCATGCACACAGTAGGCTTTTCTGCTGTTCTGGTGGCAATCTTCAGAACTGTGTGAACATGGATGGTTGCCAGGGGCTTTCTGTATTGGATTGTTAAGAGTCTAAAGTCAAGCTACATTTATAAACACTTCGGGGTGAGTTTTGTTTTAACTTAAAAATATTTTTTTATGTGTCTGGGTGTTTTGCATGCGTGTGTGTGTGTGTGTCCCCATCCCCATCTGTCTACCCATCCATCCGTCTGTCTGCCTTTCTGTGCGTGTAATCTCTGTAGGGCAGAAAAGGGTATCAGATTCCCTGGGACTGGAGTTGGAGACAGTTGTGAGTTGCCATGTGGGTGCTGAGAATAGAACCTGGGTTCTCTGCAAGAGCAGAGTTGCTAGCACTCTTTGCTCTTGTCCCTGTGGGAGGTTTAAAGCAGTTCGGTACGTAAGAGGACAAGATGCCATCTCGTTGACTCTCCTGAGCAGCCTGGTAGGGTTGCATGTGTTTACTTTAAGGCAGTCCTGCACTTACACCTTGTCTTTACCTAATAGACTCGTCCATACTGTTACTGGTTGTCCAGCCTCCAGGTTAAGAGCCTGCAGTGCAGGGCGTGAGACCTGGAACAGGCTTTTG